CAAAATTTGCCATTACTCGTGGTACTAGGTATATTGTAGTGAATGTTAGATGGTTCTTAGCTGAAAGTAGGGAATATCAGAGGAATGTCTATCTGTGTTTCATTGATTATGCAAAGGCGTTTGACTGTGTGGAGCATAACAAACTGTGTCTGACTCTGAGAAGAATGGGAATCCCAGAACATTCGATCATGCTAATACGAAACCTACACTTGGACCAAAAGGCAGTCGTCAGAACAGAGCAAGGAAACAACACTGAATGGTTCAAAATTGGGAAGGGCGTACAACAGGGATGTGTCCTGTCTCTATACCCTTTCAACCTGTATGCTGAACAGATTATCCGGGAGGCTGGGTTCTATGACCAGGAATCTGGCATCAGGATTTGTGGAAGATCTATCAACAATCTGTGTTGTGCAGATGATACAACCCTGCTTGCTGAAACTGAAGTGCTTGCTGCAGAGGGTCAAGAACTGCAACATTCAACATGGATTGAGGTTCAATGTCAAGAAGACAAAGATTCTCACCACTGGACCAATTGACAACATCAGGATGGATGGTGAAGAGTTTGAGATTGTTCACAACTTTAGTTTGCTTGGCACCACAGTCAACACTCTTGGCACCAGCAACCAGGAAATTAAAAGATGTATTGCAATGGGAGAGTCTGCTGTTAGGGCCTCCCAAAGTACTGAAGAGGAATGATGTCTCTCTGGAGACTAAGGTGCATCTGATACAGGTTGTGTTCTTTGCAATCACTTGCTATGCATCAGAGAGTTGGACAATCGTAGGGAGAATAGAAGGAGAATTGATGCCTTTGAGCTGTGGTGCTGGAGAAGAGGATTGAATGTACCATGGACCGCTAAGAAAACAAAAAGATTCATCCTGGAAAGGGTTAAACCAGGTGGTTCCTTGGAGGCAAGAATTCTGAGGCTTATCCGACATACTTTGGATATATTGTAAGGAAGGACCGGTCCTTAGAGAGGGACATCATTCTTGGGAGGGTGGACGGACAGTGCAGGAGGGGAAGGCCCTCTATGAGGTGGATTGATTCAGTGACTGGGGTAATCGGGATGGGTGTGTTGGAGAGAGTGTGTTTGGCACACTACAGAGCAGAGTTTAGGGCTGTTGTACATAGGGTCGCTATGAGTCGTATGTGACTTGACGGCACATAACAACAACTACAATTATATTTCTTCTGCATCTCTCTGTGACTTTATACTATTTAACTTTGTTCCAGTCTTTCAAAAAGAGATCAATGGTGTTTTGTTTTATTTTGGTTTTATGGGAGTGACTATTTAGGGGGAAAAGAAATAATCATAATTTTTAGAGATTACTGGAAAGTGGCTGAATTGTACTTCATTTGAGGCAATCCAAAATGTTACAGACACCCATCACCTAAGAGAAAGAGCATAGGGAAGTCAGATTCATGATACATCTTAGTTCAGATCTGTCCCACAATGGGCCAGTAGGTCCCAAATGCCATCCTATAGTGATCCTAACTGATGTATAATGCATAACTTGAGCAAACATATAGCATAAAGAATATTATAGAAGGAGAAGTAAGCAGAACTGCTCTCTATTGGAAAGAGTAAGCCAAAACAACACTTCACTCCAGCAAGGATTACATATATTATTGACACCATTAAGGTCTTGAAGAAATCAGGTGTGATGTTTCTTATCCTATTGTCTTTTAACCTGCTTATTTAGCCTGTGCAAAAAACATATGGGTCTTATAGAATGATTGTTGTTGTTGTTGTTATGTGCTGTCGAGTCACTTGCAACACATAGCAACACTATATACAACAACCCTAAATCCTGCTTTATCTCTTGCCAACCTTCCTGTCTCTGACACACCTATCGCCATTACCCCAGTGATGGAATAAATACATCTCATCGAGGGTCTTCATCTCCTGTGCTGTCCCTCCATCCTTCAAAGCATGAAGTCCCTCTCCAAGGACTGATCTCGCCTTGCAACATGTCCAAAATATGTCAGACGGAGCTTCACTATCCTTGCCACCAAGGAGCAGCCGGGCTTCATTCACCCTCTCCAGGAAGAACTTAGTTGTTCTCCTAGTAGTCCATGGTATATTCAATACTCTTCTCCAGAACCAAAGCTCAAAGGCATCAACTCTCGTTCTGTAATCTCTAGTCATTGTCCAGCTTTCTGATGCACAGCAAGTAATGGCAAAGACCATTGCCTTTATCAGGTGCATCTTAGTGTCCAGACTGAAATTGTTACACCACAGTACCTTGGAGAGGTCTCTAACAGCAGACTTTTCCAATGCAATTCGTCTTTTAATTTCCTGGCTGCTGGACAGTGAATTATATAACTAACAATATGGTGACTTCAAATACAGCTGCTGCTCCAGATGTAATTTCATAGTTTAAGTAAATTAACACATCTAGTATCTCTCATGGAGTTACTTCTCTGGCCAATGTTTTTCCTCGATTCTGGTTTCAAAGAAATACCAGAAACAATGCTCCTTCAGTGCCAAAGCTAGCAATACACATGTACTGTCCTACATCAGATATATGTCAACTCTCCAGACCTATAGCATAATTTCATCCATAGGGATCTTCATCAACTTTATCTTCCAAAACATCTCTCTGCTTCATTACATTAATGTATTATGCTGAATGAACCTAGTAAAGAAGTATCAATTACCCTAGACTTATTGAGGATATTTGCTATAGTGTGGGATTATTAGTATGACGAAACTTCAGACATCTCCCGCTTCAGTGACATTTTGAAGCATCACATGATATGGATTACATGAAGATAATCTTTCTATACTATCATATCATGTTGTTAAAGTTCATGGGAAGAAATAGCAATCTAATTCTGACTTCAGGAATGAAAGGTTGGTTCTCCACACTAAGCAAAGAACCATAACCAATAACCAGCTGAAGGCAAAGGGGATATGGAATGGGCAGTGGAAGATAGCAGTTCTAAATATGAGCTATGACCTATAATCAGTTGCAGAAATGATGACTATAACGCCTTTTGTCGTGTGTGTGGGGTGTGTGTGTGTGTATGTATGAGAGCGAGAGAGAGAAAGAGAGAGAGAGAGAATACACACACAGGAAAATTAAGCTTGTTTTCTTTTCTCTCTTATTCTGTTTGTTACTATAAATGACATAAACATTGCTAGTGCCTTTTTAGTTGCATGTATGTTAATTATATCATGTAGGTGCTAGTATGGCTTTATAATTTTCTTTATTTAGAAATTATCTATGATTTAAGGAGGTAAGTACAGGTGCTAACCTGAGGAAAAGTGAACATTGATGGTTGTGATGATTTGTCAAGTGGGCTAAGCGCTGATTCTCAATGGTTGCACAGATGTTATGTAATCATTATTCATTGTATGATTTTATATAAAAAGCCTATCAGTTAAAAAAATTTATTTAGGAATGTGGCCTCAATCCAATATATGTGAGTATTCTGACAAAATCTGTCCTTTACTTACTGGATTTTACACATGATTATTTGACCTTTGGTTCTTGGGACCTGAGCCAGCAGCTTGCCATGTGACCTGCCAATTTTTAGTGCATAAGTCTTGGCAAGCATGTGAGCAATGTGAACCATTTACTTAGAAATAAATCTATCTCTCACTCTCAGTCTCTCTGTCTTTCAATACATGTGCACACAAACAAACACACACTACATTTACTTCTCTGGAGAACTTCACCCAAGACATAGCACTACTGCTTAGTATTGAAGTGAGAATTATTGGAAATAGATCTTAAGACATACACAAACTTCATGTAGGATTAGTGAGTACTGAATAAAAATTAGTTTACACAAACTTTAGGTTGAATGTTTAAGGAGCTACCTCTACTTTGTAGAGACAATAAGATGCATGTTAGGATCTGGGGTATCCAGATATGAATCAAAATAAGTGAGGAACACTAGATTCTTTTAAATGAATGGTACTTTAGGAAGTATCAATTCTAAAATAAAAATTTATTCCTCAAATACTAGTATACAATTTGCTCCTCATTACCATGAAAAGTTTTATTAGATCTTATCCAGAATCATGAGAATCTCCCTGTAACAGGTAAACATTTTTGGAACCAGAAAGGAGTACTTGGAGATTACCATCACTTTGGAGTTTAAATTAACCTCTTGGGCCAGTCTCTATGCACAGTAGTATTGGGATCCTTCAGCATTCAAATCCAGCCATTGCTAAATCCCACCTTATATAAAAACAAAGACATAAAAGAATATGGCATGAGCTTGGGAACTGCCATAAGCCAACCTTCTTGCCTTCAACTGTAGTATCTAGCTACATACCCTAAAACATGCCAAACATCTTATCATCCAAAAAGATTGAGTCTCAGAAATGATGCTCCAAAAACTGAAAATCATGACTTAAAGAAACCACATATTTTTTGTTTGTTAGTACATATATCCAACAAATAATCTCTCTATATATTTGCCCCATTCTCTTTATTTGAAAAATAAAAGGATTATAGTGCATAACAGTCCCTGAGTGGAATAAATTCTTAAGTTCATGGCTGTTAACTAGAAGACTGGCAGTCAAACACACCCAGAAGCACCTGGGAGGCAGGTCTGCAATCTTCTTCTGAAAGGCTAAAGCCTTGAAAACCCTGTGGAGTAATTCTGCTCTGCTACTATGGGGTTGCCATGGCTTGAAATAGATCTGAAGACAATCAGCAACTATCAACAACAGAAAATATTTTAACATCAAGATGTTGAACCAGACCTAACTTGGTCTCGCTCTACAGAGCCAAAAAAGCATGCATCTATTGAAGAAAGATAATCCACTTCTCCCTTACTTTTAAAAATCTTCAAAGAATAAAATTCAATTTCCTCCCATAGTAACCTATCCCTTAACATGCCTGCTTGTCAGCAAGTTCTGAGCCTCCACCCTGGCTTCCTCTCTTATTCATGTAAATTGCCATTGGCTTTAATTAGATTTGATAAGCCCCCGGGAAATGCAGTGAGGGAAACAGGGAGCAAAGATTATACAGTGTGGGCTTACTCTTGCATGTCCAGTACAGCATTTCCCTGGAACTCTCATATCCTCCAAAGCTGGGGAAATAATGAATGCCAAGCATATGGAAAGAGAGGCTGCTGCTGGGAATGGGAAACGTGGGTGGAGAAAATCACTTAGGAGAAGAATGAGGGAGAGGAGAAAAATCAACCCGAATCCCCAACAGCTGCAAATAAAAAAGTGTGTGAATTTTTTACCTTGGATGAACTCTGATTTTCTGCTCACCGATGGCAGTGTCCTATTGAGCCCCAGAATCCTATCCAGGTGGAAGGCGAACACTTCACTCATGTCTAAGGGCTGCTTGAGCAGCCCACAGGGGCTAGGGCCACAGCGGGGCACAGAGCCTTCGGTGCTCCCCTCCAGCACCAATAACCGTGCATTGCTTCGAGATGACAGCGGCTGAAGGCCTAAAACTGTACTGTCCGCCAACAGGCGCATGATTCGAATGTCTTCTTTGCTCAGCCACTCAGGGGAGCTCTCGCTATAGATTCTGATGTTGCTCTCCCTGGTCATCGGTACCTGGAAGTCTGGGCCCCCAGATCGCACACCAGGACCCCGCACCAACCTCCATGGTCGCTCCCCAACTTGTGCCAGTCTTCCTCTCTGGACATATCCAGGTGATTCAGCACCTGCTACTCTGGCAGCTTCCTGCTGCTGAAGGGATGACCTGGCAGCCAAAGATCCCTGCCCTGGGGCTGGGGATGCCACTGCATATTTCTTCCTGCGTTTTGGTTTCACTGTGCCACGGATGTTGGCGGGCTTGCTGCGTTTGGCACGCAAGGTAATGTACACCACATTAGGCTGCAGCGTGGTCCCATTGCCCTGAGATTCAGGAGGGGCCAGGGTACCATCCAGGGGTATTTCTGGGAAAGATGCATCTGCTGTGTCACGGCTCTGGTGTGGCCCCTTCTCTAGTGCTGGTTGATGCTGGGGAGGAGCTCGCCCCACCTGGCTCACCAGGAAGCCCAGGTAGATGGCACAGGCAGTGCCCAGCAGGAGGTTCCTCCGGGTCCGTGGACGCCTGTTGCTCCAGAGTTTACACACCCGTGGGATGCACAGGGAGCAGATGAACCAGTTTATGAGGTGTCCTGGCTTGTCTGGGCAGGTCATTTCTCCGAGGCATCCACATGTTGAACAGAGTTTAAAGCTTGCGGTTGACTCCTGCTAACATGATGCATGGTTTCCTGACTTCAGCTGTCCAGTCGGCTTTAGGGTCTAAGTGGTCTCCAGTGAGGAAAGGCAGAAATAAAGTGTAGGTGATAAAGCTGGAACAGTTTCAGACACTCACCACGACAAACCTTTAAAAATCCTATCAGCCTCCTTATGGAGAAGTCTGGCTTGTATCTGGGAATGAATGGAAATAGAGTTAACTGAGTCACAGCCTCTACCAGCTCAGTTCCTTTATAAAAGCAAAGAAAAAAAAAAGTAACCACTTCCTTTAGTAAGTATTACCACTAAATGTTTAAAAAATAAACCACCATATTTCAAAATAAAGGAAACAAGATAGATGCATATATTTTATACACAGTTCTAAGTAATGGAAGAAACCACAAACCCTGGGTTTTCTAATTTGTAGCTAATATAAACGAAAAGTATTAAAATTTTAAAACCCTCACTTTTCCTTTTTAAATTAAGAAATAACTTACAAGTAAGTAATACATGACTGTTAAAAAGCTATTGTTACCTTGCATTTATTTTATAAAGTTCTGTATTAACTGACTGGTTGTAATTTTCAAGTATTATCACCTAAATTCAGAAGTATATTTTTTCTTCCCAATATGTTCCATTCTTTTACATTGAGATTTAGTAAAATAAAGACATAAAACCCCAGATATCATAGGAGCAGTCACATCTATTTAAACACACAAACATAAACACACAAAATTTGAATTCTTTCTTTAATCTTTTTCTTTCCCACAAAGTCAACTGAAAGAGAAGAAAATGGTCTCCAATGCTACAATTTCCCATAATCAAAAAGCAGAAACTTACAAGCAACCTTACTTACACAGCTGGCCCCATGCGTTGCTCCAGGAAGAATGTAGTCCCCGATTCTAATTCAAAGAACTTTTAAAGGCTGAGGCATGTAAGTAGAGCATATTTCATGGTCAAGAGTGTTCCTCATCTCAAATATTTCAGAGCAACTCTAAAGCTCCCTTGAAAGCACTGATTGTAGAACAAAACAATTACTTAGAAATTAGTTACTGATAACTCAGTTTTAAGCCGGATATTCTTTTTCTTAGTACTTTAAAACATAACTTCAATGTCAAATTTCGAAAAAAAAGAGGAATTCCGTACAGAAGCCGGTTTCAAGCAAATGACTTCCCACTTATTTTTAACCCCTGGGAGCCCTCTAGTGTCCTCTTTGCAAACAGACTCAGAAATGTCCCTTTTTGAGTGTTTGCTTAGCTTGGTGGAATGGCAGCAAGCAAACAAACACTCTGTGAAATGAGAAATAGCCCTGCCCCTTACCCTCCCCGTGTGCCTGGGGGTTAGCGCCCAGGACTCCCAGGGACCACAACTCCCCTCACTGTCTAGGCTGAGTACAGAGTAGCATCTGTTTCATTTCTCATTTGGAGGAATAATGAAGGCCTACAAGTTGCCGAAAAAGTAGGAAAGAGTTAATGCTCATGGGGGGGTGGGGGTGGGGGTGGAGAAGAGTGAGATAAAAGTGTACCTAGAGAAAGATATAATGCCCAGTAACTCACAGCACAGTAGTTCACAGAAAAGCCATGGATTCTCTTTGATTGGAGGTTTAAAAACAAAACAAATAAATTAAAAAAAATAAAAAATTTAAAAAAAAAACAGAAAGAAAGAAAAGAAAACAGGTTAGCAATTAGTTGAGATAGTTTGCATATGCAGGCACTTAGCAGGGGTTGATAGTTTGGAGGTCTCACTTATACTTATTCTGTTTGCTTCTTTGGCAAATAGACTCAGAAAGAAGAAAAACAACAGAGATTCCCTGCCCCTGCCCTCAGGGAAAGAAGGCTGTGGTATTGGAGATGCTGAGAGAGTAGTACAGTATACCTCTAAAAATACAGTGTTTTGCAGTTTTTTTTAAATGAAGAATTAGATCATGTTTAGTGAATTTGATGGCAGTGAGTTTTGTTTTGAGTTAAAAGGAACACAAAAACTTATAAATGATAAAAGGTAAAAAATTACTTTTTTTAACTGTTATGTCAATAACCCTACTCAAGCCTTTCTTCTATAAAATTTTCACCACATGATAGAGCATAAGCAACTCCTAACTTAGAGGCAATACACCTGTCTAAATTTTAGCTGAACTGCGTGAGAATTTAGGCATCAAACTCATTGTTTAATACTATAAAACTTAAAGCATACTTTAACAGCACAGAAAAAAGAAGCCTGACCATAGTGAGGTTTTTGGTAGTGTTTTTATGTTTGGTTGGTTGAGTCTTGATTTGTTGTTTGTTAGTTTGCCTTTTTATATAACTGTTTTATTATTTTCACATATTCAGAAGACAATCTGACCTGAATCTTTAAAAAATTAAAGTAAGTTTTCAGTGGAGTCACAAATATTTTAGCTATTTCTAAAGCACCCTTTTCAGTGGAGGAATGCTAAGGAAATAAATGTTGTTGTTGTTATGTGCCATCAGGTCTCTTGCTACTCATAGCAACCCTATGTACAATGGGGCTGAAACCTACTCTATCCTGGACCAACTTTACTGTCTCTGACTCACCTACCCTCATTACCCCAGCCACTGTATCAATCCATCTCATCCAGGGTCTCCCTCTCTTTCTTCATCCCTCCACCCTTCCAAGCATGATGTCCTGCAATGTCAACCAATAATTTTGGTGGGAATTTTCTTCTCCCACCAAAAAATTTTCTTTACTAAAAAAGGCCAATATATTGTAATCTATTTTAGTCATGATAGGGATTACCCAATAAATAGTTGCTACAGAGTGGTCCAGTGGGTCAAGAGTTACAACACCAACCCAAAGACAGGCAGTAAGAATACACCAGCTGCTTTGCAGGAGAAAGGCGAACAGTCTCCTTTCATGCAGATTATGTCCTTTGAAAACCTAAAGGAAAGTCAACAATGAGTCTGGAGAGTTGCTAAAGAATTGACTCCACCTCTGGGAAGTCCCATGTATGTCTATGCAGTACTGTGCTCAGAAGGGTTCCCAAGGGCAGAATTTCTGAAACAGATCACCAAGACTTTCTTCTGAGATGCCTCAGCATGGACTCAAACCTCCAACCTATCAGAAACAAAACACATTAACCATTTGTACTATTCAGGGACTCCACTATACAGATTCACCAGAGTCCAAGGTGTCTGATAGTCAGAGAATGGGCTCCAGTGAGTGGAACCATGATTTTGAATGCTCCTCATTTATTTCTAACCTGTGATTCCTTGCAGTAACTTACTTTGCGTATTTGAGCCTTAGTTTTTCCATCTCTATTGAGCCCAGATGGTGTAATGGTTAAGACTTTGTTGCTAACTGAATAGTCAGTGGATAAAACCCATGGCCACGTTGCAGGAGAAAAGGCCTGGTGATCTGCTTCTGTAAAAGATTATAAACCTATTCACGATGATTACAGTACAGCGATAACTTGTGGTTGCTTTGAGGCTGAACACTGTGACACTGATGTGTCAAATACGTTAATGGTTGGTTACCCAATGCGGACAGAGAGTGGGGTGGAGCTCACAGATTAAACAAGCTTGGAAGGAGGAGTGGCATCCACTTCCATAATAGCTTGTCTCTGGAAACCCTATGAACCTGGAGAGAGGATGAGAGACACCCAAGCGTTGAGGACTCTCCTTCATAGGGTCGCTGAGTCTCCTGCAACTCAACGGCACTTAACAACAGCAACAACAACAATAACACGATGATTAGGAATTCATTTGATGATACAAACAAAAATTCATTGTTTTTGTTATTATTGGTAGATGCCAAGAAGAAAGGAATAATAGTAATAGCACTTATCATGTAGACTTCTTCTGATTATTAAATGAGACCATGGTGATGGCATGATGATTTAAAATATTGAGCAAAGTGCTTTTATCCCTTGGATCCTATTGAACTTCTCAGAACTAGTAGGCATTTGGCAGTCACTACCAAGACATCCCTTGAACTGGCTAATGTGCTTTTCATAAAAGTCCCTTGGAGTCTGGCAGGCTGCCACACTGTCAAGATTACCTCCTTTCTTCAAATCATTCTTTAGGCAGTATTTAGAGGATCAGTAGCAGGCTAACTCTCTCTTGTGGGTCTATAACTAGTGCCCGCTTGTGGTCCATTGGGAACAATCGCCATCTTGCCTCAGCAGCCTTGGGCTTTCCAGTGCAACAATATTTCTTCCCTGGACATCGTAGACCCATATCTGATTTTGTATTAAGAGAGCAATTCCTGTCTATCAGCTCATAGTTTCTTTCAAAAACCAAACAGAAAGAAAATATAGTTGGCATGATGGTCAAGAGAGAATTTTAACTCCATTTTAGAAAACTGGACAGTGCCTTGAAAATATGTTGTCATAATGCATGCATACATAACACTTAAAATGCTATTAATATCATAATATCAAAAAGACTAATAGTCTTTAGGTTTCAAATTCAGGGATTTTCCCCATTGGCAACTTTTTTTATTAAAGGAAAGGAAGTATAAGTATAACCATCAAAATAATATATGCTCCCTTTGTATAGGCCAGGGAGCTTTTTATGCCTCGGTGAAGGAGAAAGCAGGCAGAGGTAGAAAAACAAGGTAAATAGGATTTGGAGATCTTGGTAACATTCTATTTCTTAGTCTAGATGATATTTACAAACATGTTTGAGATCATTCATTGAAGAGTTTTTCACTTTCCCAGTTGTATTTTATTCTTTATCAAAATTGAAAGAGATGGTGAGCAAACAGGTCTTTATTTTCTATTTCATATCCCCTATGCAAGAGTCTTTGAGTGGTGTAAATAGTGAAGTACTAGACTATCGACTGAAACATTGTGGTTCAATGTTTGAGGTCCAGAGGCCTCTCCGAAGACAGGCCAGGCCATCTACTTCTAAAAGCCCACAGCCTTGAAAATTCCGATTCATTTTGTATAGACAGTCATCTTGACAGTGGTCTTTGTAAGTCAGAATTGACTCACACCAAAAAAGAAC